CGCTGAGGTCTAGTGTGGCGTGGTGCGGTGATGGCGATTCGCACTGGAGAATTGTTAGAGTTGACTTGCGCGGCATCTAACGCACTCTCTTTTCCACCCCCCTAGCTGGGTCTCCCAGCTGGGTCTGCTGTCAAGATAGAGTCAATAGGAACTGAGGTGGAAGAGGACGCAGGTGACTGAGGCGGTTTAAGCCACCCCCAAGCGTTCCGCCATACCTGGCTAGGGTGTCAGCTGAGTAGGAGTGTCATGAAGGTCACCGTAACAAGCAGTCATTGCGGCCTTATTCTCGGCCGCCGGCCAGCCAGCCAGCCAGCCAATTAACAAAACACACCACACGCTGGGCTGAACGCACCGTTGTAGCTTCAGGCTTGGATCATACATGAGCAAAGCAACCACATGGCGAGGGGTGCCGTTTGCAGTCATGCTTTCTGTGATGTTGGTGAGTGATCGTGTGTGATGTGGGTGAGAGTAAGGAGAAGACGACCAATGCCACCTACGCACCTGCAAACACCTACGCTGTAGAAATGCACTACATCTTGAAGACACTACCTATTTAAAGCTCCTCTAACCGCAATCCACTTTCAAATGCTAATTTAAGTAGTCGAAACAGAAGTGTGTATATATAAGGCGGCCGTAGCACAATTGCACCTTATCCTGCGGTTCTAGGAGACCACCGTTTACTGCTTCAAGCTCTTTTCGGGCTTTACTCTCTGCCTGTACTGCAATGCGTGTGTTGTGTTGTAGCCGAACTGTAACCACTGATCCTCAGGACAGGGAGGTCTACGATCGGCCCTCCAGAAAGTCCGCGCGGAGACCCTTGAGATCTACACATGAGGCTTACGGAAACGATCCCAAGAAATGCCTGAAAAAGAAGAGTTGCCAAAAGAACACGAAAAAAAAGACCAAGAAAACAAAGAGTCCAAAGAGAAGCCTAAAGAAATGCATAAAGAAGAGGCGCCGACAGAAGAGGAAGAAAATGAAGACAAGCAGACCGGAAAAATACCTGGAAAGATAGAGGCGATTGAGAAAGAAGAGGAAAAACAGTCTAACGAAAAGCCTGAAAAGAAAAGTACGACGTCACTGCAGTTCGCTGAGACTCAAATGGACAGTTCCCCCACATGTGAAAGCGATTTAAAGTCAGATATGCGGCCTCAATCGCGACGGAAGGCAGCTTCCGAAAATGATTCCGAAGAAATGCCTGAAAAAGGAGAGTTGCCGAAAGAATACGAGAAAACAGACCAAGAAAACAAAGAGGAGCCTGAAGAAATGCATGAAAAAGAAGAGGCGCCGATAGAAGAGAAAGAAAATGAAGACAAGCAGACCGGAGAATTACCTGGAAAGGTAGCGACGATTAAGAAAGAGGAAGAAAATCAGTCTAAAGAAAAGCCTGAAAAGAAAAAGACGCCTAAAGCAAAAAAGGCACCAAAGAAGAAGAACAATGAAGATAGAGAGGCCGGAAAAATGCCTGTAACGGAAGAGACGCTTGAGAAAGAGGAAGGAAAGCAGTCTGAAACAAAAAAATCTATAAGGAAGAAGACAATATATTTTTGTGTGTGTAACGCTTGACAGGGAGGTCTGTATACCATACCCCTATTCTTTAATAAATGGGCCTATCTGCCACCTGTATTTAAAATTCACAGTTGTTTTTATTCTTAATCCGAAAATATCACTTGTATTTCGGAAATATAGGCTATGGGAATAATGATTCTATAAGATAGTCATAGTACTCTATAAAACATGTTTGGGTCAAGACAACAGAAGCGACCTGGCGGTGAATCGGTTCATAGGGGAATGTTTTGCGGCTTTTCGTAAACTCTCCATCCTACCTCAGCAGAATCTCAATATGACTGGACGTAGGGGACATAAGCAATGCTTGGGGTGACAAAGCCTTTTTGCATTCAACATTCTGTTAACTAAACGCAGACACAGCAAACTTCAGACCTCTGAGAACTTCGAAGCCGGCCACCATAAGACACAGTCCTAGCAATCTGGTTCATTCATGAAAGGAGGTTTGTGTTTTTCCTTTAGTTCATTTGACCGACTTTTTAAAACCTGGTAGCCTCTGTGGGATTTGAACGCATATGGAAGGCTTTAGTACAGCTAACACTCTAGCCAATTGAATTACGAGGCCCCCACCAGGAGCCGTGGGTTTACTCACACTTAGGTCCATCTACCTACCCAATCTTCCAAGTCCGATACAGAACGCTGCCTGCCCACGCGTGATATCCTAAATACGCAATCTAGAATCCACCAGATATACATACTTGGCAGGGATTTACCAGACTTCAAGAACTAATTTGACACAATTGCGAAAAACTCACAATTAAATCCGAGCTATGCCTATAAACATTTGACGAAATAAAAAGTTATTTTACGACACAAAAATGGTATTGCCACGATTTCACCTTATTAGATCAGCGAGGTCTGTAAGTTAGTCTTCTACGTATCCTTGGCCAATGGTTGGAGACAATGTTGTAAACTATTCCTTTAACTGGCTCCATGCCTCGTAAATATCATTGCAGAAGGTCAGCCAAGTGGACAAAGAGCATTTTCATCTGCCCGAAATCGTCAAGCCAGATAGGTGTTTGGAGATCTAACGAGTAGGCAGGCAAAGAGAATATGATGTATTCCCACATGAACACTAAATGGTCACTCTGACCTTATGGGTATAAGCAAGTCATGAAGCCACTGTTTTCAGGCAAATTAGTAAACATGACGTTGAGGCAGTTCGTCTGCTGGCCCTCAAGAACTCTCGTCGGAAAAGTGACGTACTGGGTAAGAAGCAAATTGCATGTTATATGGAGAAGTTGCTGCTCGAATGCCCCTTCAGAGCAGTTAGCGAAGGCGAAGTTTGCCATTGATGTTAAGTGAAATAAATTACCCAGCCATGGAGTGTGATAAAAGACGAAAGGGACTCCCAGATACTACAAGAGGACACAGACCAGCTGCACTCATGGAGCAAGGGTTAATGCATGAAGTTCAATTCAAAAAATCTGTACTAATGCATATGTTATTAACAAGATGACGAGAAAGTGCACTCCAACCACAATAACATTTTAAGAGACCAATCTTTGAAACCGTGAGTGCGCAAAGAGACCTCAGCGTTCTTATTAAAGACGACTTAAGCGTCACTACGCAGCGCTCCAAATTCGCAGCCAGCGCAATATCGACTATGAGCGCCATACGAACAACATTTGTTAGCCTGAATTCAGATAACTTCGAAACGGAATAGGGAGCATTCGTGCGACCCTACCTAGACTAGGCGGTAGAGGCTTCGCGGGCTTTGCTTCGAAAAGACAGAAAGATTCCTGAAGCTGTCCAACGACGTGCTATGAAGACTGTCCCTGAACTCAAACAGTTGAGTTTTACTGTTTAAGATTTTAAGCAGTCCTACATTTAATCCTCCCACCGCTCTGAAGGAATAGCCACCGCGATATTTGTTTATGTCTACCTCTAGTGCGCTCAGTTCCCTATCATCTCTCATTGTCATTAAATGCCCTTATAATGTGGAATAAAATATCCAGAAATATACAAATTTCGCAAAAGTACCCTATGTTTAAGGGTTTCTTCTTTGCCGACCCAGCTAAATATATCTCCTAGCCTGAGGGAGTTCGTTGTCCCTG